GACAAAGCCACCGCGGGCGAATATTAAATGATAACAGACGGAACAATAGGGTCCAATGATAAAACTTTCAATGCAGTGCCAACACCTCTCTCTTGGCGCCAGAACTAAATTACTAAAGCGACTATAACCTGTCTCCTTTCACATTTGATTGTGCCCAACATCACACGCCCATGAACTCTATAATGAAACAGCCGTATAAAAACAAAACTATGGGCATATATGATTAGGTCGATACACGAGTAAGGTAGAACCACTAAACAAACAACCATTACAAAAACGCCACGTCATCGTGTTGGAAATCACTTATTGTTGGATGACTTGCACTCGCGCAAGTGCCTTATGCCGAGGATCGCGCTATTTGAAAGGCGCCCAACTGTTATATTGTATAGATTCGATTCACGTTTCATATCGTCCAACACAAATATTTGTAATACGTACCATTCATCTTAAAATTGTCAGTATAAATACTTCAAATCTTGAAGTAAGTTATTTTTGAAAATGTTAACTTCGGTAAACTCGGCGGTCACTACAGAATACCGGAGAAACAGATATCACCACTTAAGAAAAAGCAAACAGTAGCCGACTAGAAAGAGGTTTAAGTCAAAGCGACAATTATTTAGATAACTACCGCTTTTTTTTTTAAATGTAAAATGTAAATGTTCAATTTTAAAAATGCAAAAGCATTATGGTACTAATAGTAAAAAAAAACAATGTATTTAACATTAACTGTTTCGCGTCTTCGTCCGCACGAATATAAAAATTATAATAAAACGGCCTATGTTACCCAGTGATAACGTATTTGTTTATTGATATAAAAGAATTTTAGAAATCGATCCAGTTAATTAAGAAAAAATAAAATTATTTTCTCCTTACATTTCAAATATTAGTACAGATTACAAAATTTATCTAGTTGTTATTCCTTATTAGAAAACGGCAATAGGAATTATTGTAATGGCGTTATGGTGTGAAACTTTCCAAGTGATAAATATTTATTTGTAAAACAAGCTTTAATAAAGTCTGTTGTCGATGTTATTTCGTGAATTATTCGATACATAGTATAGCACAGACATCAGATACAATGTAATATTAGTGACGTCATTTGTCGGTTCGACTCGTGTCTGACATGCACAAACAATGGCGCGCGCCTTCGGACGGCTCAAATGAGGCGCGGCGTCAAATCTCAGGTTGCAGCGGCTTGGCGCCGGCGGCCGAAATATTCGAGAAGTTAGCACACCCATACAGAAAAAAAAAACAAACGCACAATACACTAAAAGTTCGCTCTCGACGCGCGTCACTTCACAGGGTAATAAGCAAGCGTGACAAACGAGTCCGACACGGATCGGTTTCTAAGTGTATGATGTCATATTTTTAAGTTTCTTCTTGCAACTATAACTCGTAATAGGCTACGATTGATATTCAAAATTGTATTTTAGTGATTTTGCAGTAATTAGATCTAACTTGATAACATCTAGATATATGTACATATATTCCAAGTTATCTGCTTATCCCTATTTCATGTATTCATTCTTTTAAACAAATTTTATTGGGCCTACGTCCGCTCAGGTTTACAACTATTGATGTATCTTGTATCGGTGCCACAATTAATTGGCCAATAAGCACGTAAACCTCAATGACTATAAATCATTAAGGACTATCGCCGTCTTAATTAGACTGATGTCGACGTGGCCTCGAAGGAATAAATCAGGATTTGAATTGCTTTCCGCAGGGACACACCCACCGCGACCGGGCGATAATGGCGCGTGCAACCGAAATCTTAGACGAGTGTTTAGGAACATTTTTTTCTACATAGTATCGGTATAACCATTTTTTTCTTTAGTTTTTAGAGGAAAAAATCGAATTTAGCTTAATTTACTTTGTTGTACAAAAACAACTATAGATTTTCCGATCGTGATGATATTAAACCAATAGGTTCAGTGATAACATAAAATTTACCTCAATTAGGCAGACTATTTAGAACAGAAACAGAACAGAATAGATACAGTAACGTAAGACATACTTCTTTAAAGAGTAAGACAGGATAAAACATTACAAACAATAATCTAATTCTCAAGTATATCGATCAACATTAAATTGCTTGATTTCCTTACAATGGTTATAGGCACTAATCAATACTCACATTTATAACCGAGCATCAAAATAATCGTTCGTAAAGCAATTAATCGAATGATTTCGATTTAATTACTCAGATCACCGAGTCCGCCCCGTTCGAAATGGAAGAATCGTAAATCAACAATAATAAACTCTGAGCACACACTCCTTTTTTATTAACAAAACAAACCTTTATCAATACAATTACACGGTCGTTAGTGGGCAGTTAAATATTATTGATTTGATTTTAAGAATCAATGCTTAATACAATTGATACCTGGAACGACGGATTTAATAGAAACCGATAGTCCCCAGAGTGACGCATGCGGCTCTTTCGAAAAAGTTTTTTTCTTTCTTATTATCTAAAATCGCATTATCTTAGTTTGTAATACGAGAAAGGCATTTTGTTACCCTAAACCTATTGAGACGAAGAGGTCGGGAAAAAAATAGCACAAATGTTTATCTCAAACAGATAAATTACAAATCTCAAACATGTTTTTTGTTAAAGAAAAATGTAAGTTAAAATGTTGAGTTGTGATACAAAAATAATTTATCTTGTCATTAAGAACAATTACATTTAAAACAAGCGCAATTTTTCTATATTTTTGCGCAATAAACAATAAATAATGTTTTTTTATACTTCAGTTGCGCGCAATAATCAAGTAAAATATAGTTTTTCTAACAATTTGCGGAAAACACGTAAAACGTGAACAAAAAAGAGGAATCGGAATCGCGACGGAAAGATCATGATATTCGAAAATGGACACGAGCGGCGCCCCAGGCGGTCCCTTGTCAATTAATAAATAATCGAGCTCTTTACATAGGAAGCAATGATGACATATTTAAGTATCTCATTCCTAAAAGATACAACTGATGTGTATAATAAAAAGGTTCATATAAATATCTTAGTGTGTGGGTCCACACTACGATATTTCCCGAAATCGATAATTCTATCAGCAGGCGAGGCAAACGAAAATAAGCTTCAAAGCGTTTTTTATAAGGCAGACGACAAATGTCAAGCAGGCAGCCACCAGTAGCTAACACGTGTTACATATTGTTGGACAATCTTTACTGTTGCTTTATTAGCTCGCGACGCGGATAGGAGAAAATGGAAACATGCCCCATTCGAAATTTCAAAGCAGATGTTACACGCAATAGACTCAGTGACGGACTAATTGGGGACAAATTCTATATAACGTTAGTGAATAATTATATCTGTCTTTATACAACGGCGGTTACATTATAAACGACGTCCAGACAAAAAGCGACGAGTTGAAGAGACAAATCTCGAATAATCCTAATTAAATTCATTTAACAACTATTCACAAGCTCACCAAAGGATGCTAATAAAATTCAAATCCAATTGCGTCGACCCTTGATTTACAACTGATCAATAAAACTGAGGTCCATCATTACCTTTTTTATTGCGCACTCGATAAAAGTAATGTGATCTGTATCCAGGGCGACAACAACACATTAATCAAATAACAACCTACAATGTTTCTTACAAGATATCTAGACTCAATTGGATACCCACTACAATTCTTTACCTTTACATTTTTTAACATGACTTAGATGCCTAAAAAGCCTAACGCATTACGAATTGGCAATCAAGCTCAGCTTATATGACGTCTATATACCAAGTACAGTCGAAACAGCACAGAAACAATAGTTGGATAGGAAAAAAAGGACGGGGCCTGAGAGATGGCTCGTAAAATAAAACAAGGGACTACGTCCGTAAGATATGTCAAGATAGCATGCGGCGGGGGGTTGGTGCCGGCGCCGGCGATGCACCCGAGACCCAATTAGACGCACACCTTTTGGACATGTGCTCTCGCTTGGCGCTAACTAACGTCTAAAAACTCGGGGATGTGGGCACGTTACATCCGTTACCGTTTATCACTTTTTTCCGAAAAATTCCGTGGGCATTGGCTGATCATCGAGTTGGTCTGAATTTTTTGTGACGAGAACGATACAGGGAATGCTAATATGAATTGATTTATTAACATTCATATTATAATGTTATTTTTATATCTAAACTACGGCTACCAATCATTAATTTTTGCGTATTTGTTTGCAATGGAATTTGGTATATTAGACGATTTTATATCGGCGGTATCTTGTGGTCTCTAAAATTTAATAGTTTACGCTTGTGGTATTGTATTTATTCTATTAGATGGCCCTAGTTTTAATATTATTAAAGCAAAGAAAAATTTATTATCTTGATTTTAAATTGTCGATGGTATTCTACACAACGTACGATATATTGCGATAATCTTACTACTAACAGATTAACGACAACGGTTAGATATCAAGTCTCTCAATCGGAAGATAAATATCCGGACTGCGATTATAATATCTAAAAAAAATTAAATAAACAAATAAAATTTGTTAGACAGACATTAAACTTGTACCAGTTGCATCTAATTAAAATATGTATACTATGCCGATAAAAAGATCGATTATGTAAATATTATCTTATTAATATTATAAATGCAACAGTTTAGATGGATAGATGTATGTTTAGAGTTTGTAGCCTAAACATCTAAACGGGTCACAATGAAATTTGACGTAGACATTAAATATAGTCTGGTAGAAGATATACGTATTACGTATACGTATACGATCCACTTTTGTTTTTTTTAATTCCAGGAGGACGGAGACGCAGGCGAAAACTAGTATGTAAAAAAGTGAGGTACATCCCTCATTTAGTTAATCAATAAATATTAACAATGCAATTTAATAGACAATGGAATGCAAAAGCCTTTTGAAAAATAGTAATGAGACGAAACGTTCAAACGAATGTTACTTCTAAGATGGAACACCAGATTCCCAGATTGTACCTATTGTTATTCGGAAATCAAGATAATTCCATTATAACGTTACAGTACCTTGGTTCTGACGAGCTTCGGGTTGTCTTTACACATCTTAGCAAGGGAATGATACTCTCCTCGAGCCGCGCACAGAATCCATTGCTTCTGTTTAGAATCCAGAGGGTCAGTTTCGTTCTTATGATCCAACTGCAAATAGGAAAACACATCAAGAAACTGCTCATTACTTTAAATTGAATAATTGATCAAAACAATGTTAATTCTACTTACAGATACTTTGTCCCCTTCATCCACACTCTGCGAACAAAGAAATAGCATCAACGACACAATACAATTACCATCAATGACAAGATAATCTCATAGATTGGAATAATCACGTTATGAACGCATATGATTTGCATTTACTAGTAAACGCTTAAGGATTATATTTATTACTAACTGTTGCCCGCGACTTCGTCAACGCAGTATTAAGATAAAAAGAAGTATCCTATAATTTGTCCGTCTATGTCAGCTACCCTTCAGTGAAAGTCCGGAAAAGACGTTTCGGAGATTACCCGGAATAAACGCGGCTTGGGGACAGACAGAACAGACAAAAAAAAATGCGATTTTTGTTATCAGCAACGTAAATACATCATCTTCCTGAAGTCTCGATTTTTTCTTTTGATATTACAAACAGACAGTCCAATTTTATTATATAATATGTATAGATGGATTATTTTATAAGAGATGAGGTCAAATAAACGGCGGCAATACCAAGGTGTAATCACCTTGGTGTTCCTGCCGCCCATGGACTTCCGCATTACCAGTGGAACTACAGATGTGTTGACGACCTTTGAGGAAATGGTAGGCTTCTTGAAGGACTCTAAGTCGTCCTGATTTGAAAATACCGTTTCGTTGGTCTGAAGCTGAAGTAGGTGTATTGTTCTTTATTTTGGGGAATTCTTGCCGTGTATTACAATTTTTTAGCTTTAATAGTTAATACTTCGCTCGTTATTAGTTTGCAAACATTTGTTCGTCTATAAAATTAGCTAAACAACGAGATTCCTCATGATATTTTTTCGGTGTTGAAACGTTTTGTTCACGTGTGACTTTAATTAATGATTAATTTTAAAGTGACATTGAAGCGAAGATTACATTGCGAAACTAAGCAAATATAGTCAATAGGCGCCGCCGTTATTTATTGTCTTTTTAAACATAGGCCCGTCATTGATAGCAAACAATTTATTAAAGAAAAACACATCCGCGCACCTAACGTATGAAAACAAAAGATTAGGACAATAAATAAAGACGATATTTACATACATAATAAATATCTTAAAGACACATATAAATTAATCGGAACCTAATATTTCAAAATTAATAAATGAGTACTTATATTGTGAAAATAATATTTTGAATTAATGGTCAATAAATTCGAATTCTCCCGTCTTCAGGCTTGCGCTGCGATTGTACGGATGACTAGTCGGTCGCAATAGGCTTTCATAAGTAAAAATGATTAGGCACTTTATTTGGAACGGAACAAAGTTCAAATTTGCGTAAAATTAGTTGGCGGTTGTTGGTTTCATCGTCCATAGGTTGGGCGTGCGCTGCCCAGCATGACCACTTTACCACCTGTCGTTACATATTTATGTCTACACTATTGGCCTCACTGTTAGGGACTTCGATATTGACAAGATAACATCCTTAATGTGATGTGTTTGATTTAATAATAAGATTAAGTTTGTACGTTGCCGGCTTTTTAAACTCGCGGGTTCGACAATCGACCATTAATTGCCAATAAAGTGTTACTTATTTATTAATGCACGTATTTAATTTTATACCAATAGTTTTGGAGCTTCTAATAAGAATTCTAGTTTCTAAGTTTACTTCAATAAGCAACAATATAATGTTATTCAGAAAGAGTATGACCTTCGGTTGACCTCAAAGTTGCATCATAACGGTCGATAACGTATTAAAGAAATGCCACTCAGATATAAACATATTTTCATTTTGCATTTTATAATCAGATTGCAAAGCTTCCTTTAAAAGCCTAAACCCCAGGATATAACATTGATTTGCTAAGATTCTTATTAGTAATTATACAGCCACATTTCTTAGACAAAACTGGCAATTAATTTAACCACTATTACGAAGTAATGGAGTCTATTAAATATACGACGTTCAAGAAGAATTTAAATGTTTAAGATTATGACAATTTAATTACTGGAAATGCGATTGAGTCTCCGACATCCAATAAAATGCTCCATGTAATAAAAATTGGAATTCAACAAAATGGTCAAACGTCGCTTTAAACAGCTGCATTCACCAAAACAGTACCTTAAAGTACTTTTAAGGTAAGCCATTTACAATGTGAACATTAATGCCTTAATACTTAAAATGCGAAGGAGCATGACAGATAATACCATGTTTCGATACATCCATACTTTCTTTGCCATAGGAAATAACATCTGCTAAATGCGGCGGAACGTTAATTGAATAATGCAATTTAGTGAACTTTAATAGGTAACAGTTAAAACCGCCTTCAGAATTCAACACACTCTGTAAACATCATAAAAAGTCATATATGCATAAGAACGATAGTAAGAAAGAAACAAGTAATCTTTTTTTATTCTAATTCACCCAGTTTTCAAACACACGACTCTTTTAATAAACTTAAAATTGTCATAAACTCAAATATAATAATCGCTTTCATTTTATAATTTTACTCAAAACATTAAAATTGTAAGCTACCTGTGCTGAGTAAATTAAATAACATAGCAATGAAAAAATAACCATAAACATACTGAGTATTGACCGAATACGAAGTTACGATCGACTAAAACAATTGCCGGTGTCACTAGCTTATTAAATTTATGGTAAACGAAGTGACTTCTAGGGAATGGAGTCGGTGCTCGAGACGGTCGCCTCTCCGTCGCCGTAGGGCTCCGGCGAGCGCCCCGGGACGCCGGCGGGCACCGTCAGCTTCGCACTGGGCGCTAGTGCCAACGGAACATTGTGACGCATACGTCCTCTATACTCTTTGAAAGCATTACATTATAAGTCGAATAATAAACTTCATCGTGAAATTTATTTAACGTTTAATTTTATACTATTTGCTTCTGGCAATGATCTCATTAATCTACGCCTTAATTTTAAATTGTGTAAGTTACATACGAATTTGTATATTAAAAATAGAGCAAACATGTATCTAGTTGTAATGTTCTCCTTCGTTTTCCGAGATACCTATTCTGCTATTGTAACGATCACTTTTTAAGTAACAAAAAACCAGATGCAAATTTCGATACGAACATTCAATTGTTTTACCCACACGGAGCGTATTAAGACTCCTTAGTTTTATCTCTCGTCAGCTGACAGCTAATTCATCCGCTCCTATTTTCCATCGGATCGACAAGGCTCGTTGATCGTGGCATCCAGTCGATGGCCGCAAGTGATTCTCAGGGCTCGTATGGCGACCGGGGAACAATGAAATCGGTCATATTTTCCTGCCAACTCGCAGCGGACCGTGATCACTTATCTCCCGCATCGTGCATAATAACAACGATACGGTTGTTCAACGTTACGATGACGTACTAATAAACAATTCATATTTTCGCTAACTTTTTGAAGGATTTATACACTTAACATTCAGATAACTCTGTAATTCATGTGTTCATACAAACAAGTATTTGACATTTATTTGATTTAGGACTCAACAATTTTAAGAACACATTCATCTTAAACCTAATAAAAAATCATTTACAAGTCTGACGTCTTCGTCTTTAAATCTACGGCAAAGTATCTAAAACACGAAATTCGCTGAGTTATTTTAAGGAGATAAATTTAAGAAAAGATTTTCACTAACTTCTGCTTGTAATTTTCTTAAGATATGCTCTATATTTTCATTAACTACGTGGAATTGTTATCTTCATAGCTGAATGGTGAACCTAATTCAAACAGCGGATTGCCGCGGGCTGGGTAATCCCAATTAATAATAGAAAGTTTCATTGTTTTCGGCATTCGCCTTGAGGACACCTAGACGAACAATGGAGTATGTATTCCTACTTAAAAGTTTCTGATATTAAATATATTTTGTTGAATATTAAAATATAAAAGAGTCATTATTATTTTACTTGATTAATTATTTTTAGATACGTAAAAAGGTTCATATGATAATAATCATAATTATTATTTTTATTACTTCCAAGCCCATAATAAATAATTCAGAAAAAACATTATTGCTGTTCTTTAATGTTAAAATAACGAATCGATTGATAAAACACAATGGCTTAGGTTAGTTTTAAAATCATATAGAAAGGCTAACTGGCACAAGTAAGGTAAGGTACACAGTATTAATATAAAACTTGTTTTTTTTTTAAAGTTCATATTAGCAGTTTTATCATCTAAGAAAATCTATTTTAATATTGAAATAATACTGATAACGAAACATATTTGGTATATATAGAACTAGCTGTTGCTCGCGACTTCGCTCGCGTGATAAAGTTTAAAATTTAAAATTTATAAGTAATATAGCCTATGTTACTGATAACGAAGGTTTCTAATGGTAAAAGAATTTTTGGAATCGGCCCAATAGTTTTTGAGTTATTCCAATACATACAAAAATACCATAATACAAATCACTGCTTTTTATAACATTAGTATAGAACTATAGATAAAGGCCCAAAACATCCTTAAATAAAAATGGTCAAATTCAATCCAAGAGAATAAACAGCAGCAACAGTTAGTTCATAATAGAATTAATACTGCAAATAAATAGAGTAATTTGCGGCGCACCCCATTAAGACAAAAGGCTAGCCGTAAACACGAACAATTTCAACTTCACGACCGGCCCGCGCAATTAAATGTTGCCTTAACTTTGACACGTTAAGAGGAATCCTCTAACTTTAGCTCTTACATATTTTTGAAGAGAATTTGTTGCGAACAGTAAATAGTATTCTGTTTCTTAACATGAATAATAAATAAAACCTTAAAAAGACAGTGGTCAAAAACCGAAAGAACAAACGGAAACTACAAAAAAAAACAAACAAGTGAAATATAAAATAAAAGTGCAAACATATGACGAGACATTAAAAGAGGAATTAAAACGTATGCAAATAGATGCAGTAAACAGAGTTCGAAGTTAAGAGTGAGCAATCAGTCAAAAGGTAATTTGTCAACGAACCCCATACAAGCTCATTGAGGCGAAAACCTGAGCTTTTAATAACGGATGTAAGTAAAGTTAACACAGAATGAGTTGGCGGAGGCAATAAAACGTTTACTGAGTGCTTAGCCAATAAAAACGAATTGAATTTCGCGTTTAT